GCCCCCCCAGCCCCTCCGAAAGCGGGGCGGGTACGGCCCCTGCGCGGGCAAGAGGAGCGTAGCCCCTGCGGCAGAAACGTTGGGGAAAATTCAGACAAGCGCGACGTTTCCTGCTTAGTCTGATGTCCCTCAGGTGCCCCCGAGAAGCCACAGGTGGGGATTTGGGGAAGAGCTGAGCCTCTTCTCTCCTGCTCTCAGGGCCGGAGATCCCATTTCCCTTCGAGCTCAGTGCCTCAAGAGCAGCCCGCGTGCAGCCGTGGCCACGCACAGGATCTCGTACTAGGGCCGTGCTGAGCTGGAGGCGGACGTCTTGTTTGCTTGCGGGTGACCGTCGCCTTAGCACAGGAGCCCTGTGGCCCTTAGAGCACTTTGCTGTTTGTTGTACCACTCAAGGAAAGGTGTTTCACCCTGGGCTTGCCTTTGCAAACAGTTACCATCAGGAAGGAGATTCATATACCATCTTTCCTATTGTTCCTCGCTATTTGCAATAAAGTGTTGACTTTTCTGTTTCATTAACTAATGCAATGCAGACTGCTAGAAGGCTAATTTGCTTTGTGCTGCCTGCAGCACAGCGATCCTCTGTTAGCGCCTGAACTGTTTGCAGGGCTCATTTCTGCTAAGTACTTGCTGCTTAATTGCAGCTGCTAACGCTGGTGCCGTTGAAGAATCGGTTCTCATTGGTTTGTGCATGTAATCAGAAACACACATTGCTGAAATGAGATCAGGCCTCAGCTGGGCTGCTTAAATTCTGGGTGTACTCCCTGGAGGCAAACTCATCATACCTCTGCATGCTGACTTGCAGACAAAGAGACTGTGTTAGCTGAATGCTCTGAATCCACCGTTTCCAAATTCCCATGCAAAAGCGTCTTTGGCTTCAGAGACTAGCACTGCCTGTGGCTTGTTGCTCTTCTGCTATATGAGCGCCTCTCTTACGTATCCTAGCATATGGGCAACGCTAAGTGTGGATTTGCCAGTTCTGATAATCTTTTACATCATAGTAACTTTGTGTGTGTGCGTGCTGCTGTGATCAAAAGGCTTCTTTGGCTGCCCTGCTTGAGATACTGAATGAGGTGGCAGCTGAGGCTGGTAAGAGCATATTGAAGTAAGCCACTGTTTTCCAGGAGCACTGAAATCACTGCTACTATGTGATGAATGGAAGTTACCAACAAGGCATTTTGATTTTTTTTTTAAGTGCTTTAGAAAAAAATTTTTGCATGGCAAAAAATGTCACCCTTACCATGTATTTTATGTGGTGGACACCTCTAAGGGTGTGATTGAGGGCTGTCTAGAGCTGAAGCCTTGACAAATGCAGCTTTTGGATCCAGCTGGGAGAGGGTATCTCCAAGGAAGCCTCACCACCCTCTTTGCTTATTTTGTCCTTAGACATCAGTCAGTGACCACAGAGATGGAGAGACTGCTGGAGGGGATGGCCTCTTGGTCTGGTATGTGCAGCTGACCTGATATTGTTGTACATATTATGCTTAAACATTGAACCTTGGTTAGGCATGTGAGTGACCTTATACATGAGCGACTCCTCTGAGCTCTAGTAGATAATCCACGTGCTCAAATGTCTGTGCGGAAGAGACCTCCATCAACTTCTGTGAGTGCTGGCCTGTAACGCGGCAAAGTAGGCAGCGGGGAAAAAGAACAGCTACTCAGAAAAGAGTAAGATATTATAAAGCTCAAAAGAACAGGCAAAGAGACTCCTGGGCCAGTGTAATAGAAACTACTTTTACCTACTTCAAGCATAAGTAGTTTAAAAGCTCAATTAGACAAACGCATGGAGGAATGAACAGCCCCAGTGAAGGCTGTTGAGTATAAAAATGCAACCTCGTTTTTAGGAAGTCCCAAAGCTGGGGATAGCTGGAAGGAGATATCATTGTGCAGACTAGAGGGAAAAATCACTCTGTGTTTGCTCAGTTCTTATATTCTTTCCCGGAGTATCTGCAGTGGCTAGGGACAGGATATGGGTTGAGGTGGACTTTTGGCATCATCCAGCACAGCTGTCCTAACGTATTTAATGTTTTTGAAAGAGCAGGATAGGTTTCCAGCCAACAGCAGGGTCTCGAGAACCAATAGGACCTTCTGAAGATTAAGCTTCCCGCATTGCTGGCAGCTAGTGGGAAGATGTAATACGATTAGCGTTGTTCATTACCCAGTTGGTGCAGTCCTCCACGGTATAAACCGGCGAGCGAACAGTTGCGTAATTCAATGAAGTTTGCCATCCAAGGGGAGAGCGCTCTTCAGTGTTACTGATTTATTTCCCCACTCTGTTTTAACAGGATAAGTAAATCAGTGGGCTGTATTAAAAAAGGCATGGAGCCCCAGCTTGGATTTTGTGCCACCTTAATTTAGCAAGAAAAATGTTTCTAAATGAGGGAAGGGACTGTGCAGAGCAGCCCTGCTGATCGGCACGAGACTACAGCGACCTCCAGGAACCCATGCTGGCTCTGAACTTGGAGCAGGGAGACCTGGCCCAAAAGCCAGTTCGGGCACTAGCGGTGGGTGCTAGGGTGCAACCAGGTGTTTGTGGTCCTGCAGTGCATTTGGGCCCGATCCTGATCTCTGTATTTGGGGGCTAAAGAGGAGTCATTTCTCTGAGGCCAACAGAGTTCCCGATCTTTAAAGCTTTATGTGGCATGCAAAAGATTCAAAAGTGGAGACTGCTGTAAGCTTCTGGAGTTGCAGGTAGGCTTTTAGTTGTCATGCATGTGTATCTGTTTTTCCCCCTAACTTCGCTGTGAGGGATGAATATCGATCCTCTACTGTCCCTCAGAGTTTTGGTGCTCTGGGAGCTCCCCTGAGTCCAGCCCATCTACTTCATGCCTCCCATAAGTCTGAGCTTGCCATTTCTATCCATAAGCATTAGTTTACCCAAAAGAGGTAATTTAAATGTCCACCTCAGGCTTAACTCATGCAGTCTTAGGCAAAAACCTCTTACAAATGATTTTACTCACCCTTTCTAAAATGTGTGTTGTCATCCCAAATCTCCCTGTGTATCTACCTGACACCTTCAGCTCCTGGTCTATTATTTACTCCATTAACTCCACAAGTCTTTTTTAAATCCCTCTCTCTGGGATGCTAATTTTAGGAGCAGTGGCCTGACAGGGTTGATATGGATGTTGATGCCTGGGATGAAACAGGATCCTTGTCCAGACAGCTGCTCATTCTCCCCTCACTGGGGATGTCCCCAGGTGCCATGGGCCCTCTGTGGCCGCCTTGCCCACCTCCCAGATACCCAGCGCCTGCGGTGGAGGTAGTTGTTTACAACGGCAGGCAAAACCAGCTCCAGACGAAAATGTGATTTTTATGTTTTGCTTCTCCATTTTCAATTTGCCGATGGAGCGAGAGCTGGATACACAGAGGCCTGTCTGTGCTGCCTTTGTCCTGGGCAGGCACTTACTCTTCGAGGCTGCAGCAGAGGTAATAACATCATGAAGCAGCTGTATTGCTTTCCTTTGCCTCTCTGCTTTGTGTAGTCTTTCGATGGAGGAACAACAAACAAGATTTATCTCACGGCAGTACGTGAGCAGCAGCTCCCCCCAGTCACCCTCTCCTTCCAGTGCCTTGTGTCTCTCTTCCCCCCTGCATCTCCCTCTCTATAGGCTATTTTCTCATTTATTTTTAATTCAAAATGGCACTTTGCCTGAAGTCTGGTGCTCAGCATTTTTATGCTCCCTGTATCGCATTCTTGCATTTTTTGAGCTTTGTGCCTTTCCACATTTTAATTATAAGCTCAGCAGGCTTCAGGCTTCACTATTCCTCAGGGCTGTGAAAAGCTGCTCCTCTTTCTTTCCCTTCATTTTCATGATCTGTAGCAATCAGCCTGGATGCATTTGGGGGAAAAAAGCGTGCAGTGTATCGCAGAGCAAAGACTAAGGACTGGCCGGTGATAGCAAGGGGGTAAAGTCTCTCCCCGTGCTTGTTACGGCTGGGCCAGCCCATGATAAGGAGGCACCGGGCGCCTGCACGTGGGGTGACTGTTGACATCCTGGGGCGAGGGCACAGTGTCTGCTCTGCGGCAGGCAGAGCCCTGGCCATTTTCAAAGGGCTTTGAAGTACTCTCTGACAATCTCCATCGGAAGATAAGAGATTTCTAAGAGAGGAAGGAGTTCCTGAAAACAGTTTCGGCAGCACGTACGTTTATCTTGTCAATGTAACCCAGAAGGAGACCAAAACCTGGCCTAGTGACACCCAAGAAGATAAGTGGGGATTCAAGCAGAAAACACAAAGTAATGTGGAGCTCCGTGTTGTTGCGTGTTGGTTTTTTTGTTTTGCTTTTTTGTTGTTCTTTTTGTTTGCTTGTTTAAATTACTTTTCTAGCATCTAACTCAGGCCTACAGTTGTATTGGGGATATCAGTGGGTACATCCCTGCCTAGTCCTTTCAGTATCTGTTTACGGATCTGTGGCTCATGAATGTGTCTAATGTCTTGCCCACACTGTCTGCCTATACAGCCATTCAGGGCAGCAAGTTGCAGAAGTTCGACATCCACTGCATAA